ACAGCACGGTGCTACAGGGCAGGTGTTTTTCCCTTTTCACACCATTCTTTGTAAACCCTAGAAATGGTTGTGCGTGAAAATCCCAGTAACTGAGCAGATTGTGAAATACTCAGACCGGCCCGTCTGGCACCAACAACCATGCCACGCTCAAAATTGCTTAAATCACTTTTCTTTCCCATTCTGACATTCAGTTTGGAGTTCAGGAGATTGTCTTGACCAGGTTCACACCCTTAAATGCATTGAAGCAACTGCCATGTGATTGGTTGATTAGATAATTGCATTAATGAGAAACTGAACAGGTGTTCCTAATAATCCTTTAGGTGAGTGTATATTATGAACAGTAATGTAATTTTCATTAATGTAAAATGTTACTCTCAATGTTACACTACATGTAATCAACTTGGCTACTGTTGCTAACAAACCTCTCTTGGCATGCAGGTTTGACTCTTAGCTTAATAAACCAAAAGTCTTTATTTTCATTTCTCCTTTGTTTATTGCCACATGATCAATATAGGTTCATTGTTACATATAACTGTGTGGTTCTGAAAGTTATTTTACTTTTAAATCTAAGTGGCATGTTTCCCTGATCAAATATATCTGAGCACTGCTGGCAGTAAACAGAACCTGTGATTCTCTGAATGTTTGTTTTAATCCAGCAGATGGCGGCAGAGTTAAAACAGGATGACAGAGTGACTCGTCTCGAGTCCCCATTCTTGTAATCCAGTAATCATCAAAGGCCTTTCACTGTTTTGTGCCTCCTTGATCCTCCGTCCTCCTGCCTGTGACCCCTGTGAGTTTTACTGTTTTACCTTTATATGCTGTACTATTACAGGCCTGTGTTTCACTGTCTGGTGCTTAATGCTTTATTATGTTGTAGTTAGGTTTCACAGTTCACAAAGGAAAGCAGCTCATTAGAGGGTTTCTTATCTGTTTGGTAGACCTTCATCACAGTTGGTTTCTACTCCCTCCCTCCCTGAGACAGCTGCAGGATAACATCAGAGTATAAAGTCACCTGTTTCATCACTGTCTCTTTGTCTCAATCTCTGCACACTGGTTGCACTCTGAATTACTGTCTGAGCCTTTGCAAGAATAAAACCCTTAAGACGTCTGGACTGAATTCATTATTTCAGAAGACTCACTAAAGAGAAATTGACACCCTGGAAATCGATCCCACTGCGACATCTTGAAGGACATCTCTATTCTTAAAATTCACCTCGACGATCGAGGAAGCCTGCAGGGGAGGATTTACTGCTGTATCCTTTACGAAAGTCTTTTCAGCAGCCATGATGTGTAAAAGAGGCGTGACACACTGCTGGAGTAAACAACAGGAGCAGGAGCAGTTTTCTTTTGTATTCAGAAGTTGTATTAGTTATTTGAGATGATCAAATGCGCCATCAAACTCTTTGTCCTTCACTCTTTGTATGGCGCCTTGTAAGTCTCTGTTCTAACCTAATTCCCTTAATGTCATTTCACTTTTGTTGTATGTGGCCTTGTGAATGGGCTCATTAACATTAACAATGAATAGCAGCTGGGTGAAACATCTGCCCAGAGAGAAGCTGTGCACGCTGGGGGAGATTGTTGCCATGATTGCAATGGTGACCCGTTCAATGGTCTAAGTCAGCTATTAGACAAAGATTGTTGCTTAGGCTACACACTGTACCGCAGGGGTTTGAGCGTGAGGGCCTCCCCTCAGACAAAGTTTGGGAAAATGTGCCCCCAGTTTACTTGTTTAGTTTCGCTCAATTCCTGGATGCCTGTGGGATCATGATTTTGGTATTTGATCTCACAGACACTCAACACTTGATTTACACTGTTTTGACATAACTTCAGACCAAATACATTAAAAAGGTCAGTCCTAAGGCATTTATTAGTTTCTGACTTGTCACGTGGGAAAACAGTTCTATTGTATCTCTATTCTATTCTATGTGATCTCATTTTGATAACTAACATAATAACTAATGTAATATTGTTTCACTTCCATTCACTGAGCCTCCCCTGAAACTGTTTGGAGGCCCCTGGGGAGCCCCGCCTCACACTTTGAAAACCCCTGCTGTACAGTATTTGTGAACAGCTACATCCTGGAGTTCATTGTCAGTGTCTACAATTAAGAAGTGACCGACACGCCCCTTACTAGGTAGCCATTATAGTGATTAGACGCTGCAGCTGGTCGGACTGATCTGATACATCACTGCAGAGCGAAGACAGATAAGACATGAAACTCTAGTGTAGCCTCACTGCCAAGTTTGATAATTGATGGGGATGGGGATCCAAGCAGATCGCGAAAAATTAATATTGGACCTTTCCAGAGGAGAAGACCAGATTCAGATGACTTTGGACTCAAAGGCAAGAAACACAAACTTTATTATTAACTTTTTTATGCAGTGTGAGGTCTGTGTCATTATGTGCCTGAGTAGTGGGAGACATTTGAGCCCGTTCTCATCACAGGGCGTCATATACCAACGATTTGAGAAAGAGTGACAAAGCGTAGTTATTTGTAGAAGCGCTAGTTAGCTAGCTACGTTTGTGATAAAGACACGGACATTCATGTTTCCCTCAGGACAAACTGTAATATCATGCTGGCTGATCCTCTGACTTTTCCTCTAGCGTCATCATCAGGTCAACATTTTAATTTGCGCAATACTTTGGTTTATGACCAAATACCTGCAGAACTACTGTTGAGGAGGAATCTAAATCCCGGTGGTCCAATACGGAGCCTGATTCTAGTTAAAGACTCAGGAAGAGAAGGGATATCTTCCAAATGGTTTATTTCATCTTGCATCAGTGTAGCTAAAGAGTGTGTGGGGCTTGTCTTGGTGTGTGTTTGTCAGAGTGTGTGTGAAAAAACACACACGAGCTAAATTAAGCAAAAAACATCATTCATTTCATTTCCAAGCAGAACATTGTTTGTGTTCAGAGTTTCCAGCAGAGCCAGAGGTCGTCTGCTCTTCACTGAGGTCGAGCTTCACACCAGTCCAACCACTGATGTCCAGCTGCTGGTTTACTGCGTGATTACTAAACATGCAGTCAGACAGCCAGCAGGGGGCAGCACAGGAACTTCGTCACAGTCAGGTTCATCTGGGAAAAGACTCATACACACGGTGATAAATGTTCTAAAACAAAAGCAGGCAAAGATCCTTAAGCAGATTTTTGCAGCTGCCTCTTCAAATCAAAATGTTTAGTCCTAAAGGTCACAGCGAGAGGAGACGAAAGGAGAAAACTGGAGGCTTTTAATTTGAAGGAGAGTAGAAATGAAGAGGCAGTGGGTATGAAGACATATTAGACTGCAGCTAAAAACAACAACGCTGAACAAATAAGTTAAAAAATAAACAGAACTATTAAAAGTAGCTAAAAAATAGAAGCACCTATGCAAACATAAAGCAACATAATGGCTATAAAAGTCAAAGTTTCTGTAAATGTAGTGCGAGAAGTGCAGAGTGCTGGAATTCAAGCTGCTCTGTGATCTGCTGCTCAGTAAAGATGAGGACACGAGGTGGCTGCTCCGCTGTTGTGGTAAATAAACACGTCCTGCTTTATAATTTTTTATTTATTTTTAGCTTAAATTAGCTTCAAACTGCAGAAAGCCTCTGAATCCCAACTTTCTGTTTTGTTTCCTGAGAATCATTGCAGAGTGATCTCTAATAAAACCTGTTTCTTTGTTCAGTTGGCTCAGGTGAAGACCTGAAGCAGGAAACTATCTTGCTGTACTTCAGTTTGAAAGCTACACTGTTTTCTCTTCCTGACTCCACAAAATAAATGTAAATTAAAAGCAGGTTTAACTTTGTGTCTGTGAGCAGCAGCAGGATAAACTCGTCTCCTCCCTCATGATACAGTCTGCAGTATTTCTCCATGATGAAGATTAAATCCCAAATGTTTCAGCTGCTGTTGAACTCTGATCAGGAGCTTCAAACTCTGACTTTCTGCTTTAAGAAGGAAACAACACGTTTTCATGCCAGGACTCAGAACAAGGTTCCCTTCAGCAGGGTTTCCTCTGTGTACTTTGTAAAATGATCGCAGCCGCTGTTTCAGATTTTTATGAAATGTCATGAAGTCACAATTACACGACTCTGTGAAGGCTTTTAGTTTGACACGTTAGTAAAGACACGTAGGTGGAACATTTACATTTATTCATTTAGCTGACGCTTTTATCCAAAGCGACTTACAATTGCTCTACATGTCAGAGGTCGCACGCCTCTGGAGCAACGAGGGGTTAAGTGTCTTGCTCAGGGACACAATGGTGGATGGGTCAATTCCCTTTACACAGTAGCAATAAAATATTTCTTGTAAATCTCAACTGAAACATTAATGTAATCAAATCAAACATTAAACCAAAGCTATTTGCCACTGCCAGGGGTTACCTTGCTCACACGCGGCTACAAAGTCGACACGGCCCTGTTAGAAACTTAGACTAAATATCCACGCAAGCACCACCACACCCACTCTTCAAAACCCACAGTGGCGACAGACGTCAAATTTAGATGTGTTCACCGAGGCTGATGCAGGTCGGTGAGTGAACAACAGGGACTGAGCTCTTCAGGGTCGGTCTGGGAACAAAGTCCAGCTCCGTCATCCAGAACAGACTGTTAGTGTTATAACAGCAGCTAGCAGGATGTTGAGCGGCACTGACATCAGTAACTGTTGATTTAAAATATTTGGAGCTTTTTCTCTCTTTTGGTCCTTTACCCGTTTAATTTGATTTGACCTCTGACTCTACCTGGATGGATGGATCCACTTGAAGGGGTGGGGGGAGGTGCCGACGGTCTGTACCACTTCCTGTAATTAACAATCAGCTGGCTGTTCCAGCATCAGGTCATATTGTTTGTCCCACAGAGCTGCTGGTCAGTCAGCCCATCTGGCATTAACCTGCCTCCAGGTGAAATCAGACGTGTGTCAACAGCTCAGGTTTATTTTACAGGAGGAATGTGTTTCTTCTGTCCAGCAGCACGTTCAGTCCACCAATCAGCAGCCAGAGAGTAACGACCAATCACTGCTCCCACAGTAACCAGAGTGACTTCAGTCTGGATCCTCACTAATTCTCATCTGCTGCCTCTGGTCTCTTAATCTCTCTGCAGGTTCTGCAGTTCATGTCTGTTTATAGCAGGTTGTTGATTCCCTGTGGGTCTGTTATATTCTTTAAAGATCACAAAACCACCAACACCAAGAAGAAGAAGAAGAAGAATCACACAAACTGGCAGACCGACTCTCAGTCCAACATTTCCCTCCCCGTCTCCTTCCTCCTTGTCTCCTCCCTCCTCGTCTCCTCCCTCCTTGTGTCCAGCTGTGTGACCTGCAGAGCAGAAACAGGTGTGAGGTATCAGCTGTCAGCAGGTGAACAGAATGTCAGACATTATCTACTGCACTTTGATCACATGACTCGTAGCAGCTGTTTCCTCTAAAGTCTCATCAGCAACATCTTTCTAAAACACAAACATCTGATCTGTGATGTTTCTCAGCTCAACTACCAGGAAGCAGCTTCACCTGAGAGACAAAGACACTCTGAGCTCTACACGCTCACCTGAGAGACAAAGAGACACTCTGAGCTCTACACACTCACCTGGATCTGTCACTGTCAGACTGATGATGCTGTTGAATGTAGATTTTCCTGGATTGTTTCCCTCTCTAACCCAACACTCATATGTTCCAGCGTCGTTGATGTTGACGTTCTTCAGAATCACAGAAGCGTCTCCGTCCTTCATCTCTGGATCTCTCAGCTCCACTCGACCACGATAAGATTCATGCTGGTAGTTTCATGTGAGCGGCCGTCTCTGAAGTAGAAGACATAATCACCTGGCTTCAGGTCAGGTCTGATCCACTTTATCACTTCTATGTCAGCACCTCTGTGACTCTGACACTGAAGAGTGGCGTTCTCTCCAGGCTTGTCCTTCAGCTCCGGTGTCTCTGAACAGAAAGAGAAAAGCCTCCAGTCAGGACTTGTAATGTTTCCTGTTGTTCAAACATCTTTTGATGGAAGCAGCAGAGATCAGGTCTCTATAAAACAGCACATGTGAACTCAGCAGCATTTCAAACCCTGTTCTCAGACAACTTGAGTCCCAGCTGCAGAAAGGAGAGACTAACTCCTCTGCTGCAGCTGCACGCTGACTTCATGTTGCTCATTTCTACAGCTGTCAGTCAAGTCGTCCTCCGCACCATCAGACAGGAGACATTTTACTTTCATCTGCTTTCTGCTTGTTTGGAGATTATTGATTATTGATATTATTTCCCATCTGAATACAGACATCAGCATTTCTGAGCCTGAACAAACAGCTGAAATATTAAACATGTGAAGTTTATTATTTCCTAGAAGCTTTGAATCTTTGTCCTTGTTTTCCAAATGTGTCCCCAGTCTGTCCGTCCTCTACTCAGACTGTGTCTGAACTACTTCTACTGAGGAAAGAGTCCCTACAGTATGAAACTGCTTTACTTCTCAGAGAGACAAATGAAGCTGCTGGATCTGCATGGACAGACAGCACGAGAGGGGAGAGGACACATGTTGGTCTCTGCTGTCCATCCGTCCACACAGTAAACTACATTGTGTTTATTTCTCCATTCCTCTCTCTGTGCTGGAGTTATTGAAGAACTTGGTGGCTTGATCCAGATTATTATTAAATTGGTTGAATTTGAATAAGAGTGTGTTTATTCATATAGTGTATCAAGCTTATTACTTCAATATATTACTGCAAATCTGATATTAATATTTTACTCATGGATAGGGACGTTAGGCTGCTGTATGACATTACATTTATTCATTTAGCTGACACTTTTATGCAAAAAGACTCACAATTGCTATACAACTTCCCGGAACGCGCCTCTAAGTCTGTGTGTGGGGGGGGGGGGGGGGGGGGACACATGACGCGCGTTACTTCCGCACTCCAAAGTTCCAACAGAAGTCAACGGGAGTGTCGTAACTCTCTTATATTTCCGTAATCGATTATGTCTATAAATCACCACAGCCCCTCCACACAAGCGCGCGCGCACACACTCCTCTTACCTTGACACAGAACAATCCATGAACAGGCGAACAAAACCACGAGTGACGGCCATGTTAAAGCGACCATGACAGCAGAGCTGATAAAGCTGAGAGCAGACTGAGTTCTTGTCCCAGCTTTGTAGTTTATGCTGACAGCGGACCACCTATGGTAGCCTAATCAACAGCGAGAATCTCTCCATAGCTGAACGTCAGGTTCAGTCAGACATTTGCAGGAGAGCTGATAAAGCTGAACCCAGAGGACTTCGTGTTGTGTAGCTGTTTTAATTTTGACGGTGGACCCGCCCAAACGAGGGAGGGTGGAAGGTGACACGTGATTTCAAAGAAAGCTAATCTTCTTCTTGTTGTTTCCGGCAGACTAGACGCATCTGTGGCGTAATGCTGCCCTCCTCAGTTCGTTATTCACATCTTAACGCTAATTGCCCATATCCTTTTGTATAAACCAGTTTTATGTAGGTACTCGATCAGTTTCTTCATTTTGTTCCAACTATCAAAGTTAACTAGAGTGCGTATGCTAAATATAGTTTCTCCAATTGCTCCCAGGTCTCTAAACAATTTCCTCCTTTGGCGAGAGTATTTTCTACAATGAACTAATACATGCTTCACTTTTTCCTTGTCTCCACATTCACATTTTCCATCAGGGTGTTTACCAATCAGAGCCAGCCCACTCCTCAGCCCACAATGCCCAAATATCAGTCTGGACAGAACTGCTGCATCTTACCTCTAAAAGCACATCTTCCTTTCTCTAAAGTTCTTTGTTCTGAATAATATGTTCTCCCTTTCTTTCGTTTTCCCATGATTTTTGCCACATTTCTTTCACTGACCTATTTATTATTTCTGTGTAATCCGGTAACCCATATTGTAAATTAATTTGAACTCTTTCCTCCAGCACGGCCTTCTTTGCCACCACATCTGCTTTCTCATTACCCTCCACACCCATGTGTGCCGGTACCCACACAAACCCCACCTCATACCCTGCTTTGTGAATTCTATACAACACCTGAATAATTTCCACAAGTAAATCGGGTCTAGATTTAATTTTCGTATCTTTAATTGTAATCAGAGTTGCTGCTGAGTCGCTACATATAACTGAATATTCCTGTTTATTATCTTCGACCCACTTTAATGCCCATAGGACTGCCACCGGCTCTGCTGTGAAGACCAACATATGATCTGGAATTCTACATCCTTTTTTATAACCTATTTCTGGTATGCTTACACCAAAAGCCACTTTACCGCTTTCAGGATCCTTTGACCCATCAGTATAGATTTGTAGGTGGCCCCCCATATTTGACACATCCGGGCTTTTATCTCCTTCGCTACAGCCTCTGATATATTTCTTATGCTTGTTTCCATAAATATAGGTCAACATTGGGATCAGGGATGAACTATGAAGGTATATCTGGACGACATATTGGTGGACATACATTCAAATTCATAATACCAATTTCCTCTGCCATAGATTGTAGTTTTTCTGTAAAGTTTGTTTTGATCCTTCTTGCTATTCCCATGAACTCCCAGCGTTGACTCAACAGGGTTTTTGTTGGTAGATTAGAAAGCTAATCATGGGCTCATCAGACATAAAACTTTACATAGTCAGATGTGACTTTCTATCAGTTACAGTTTTATTTACCCTCTTTATAAGTAGACAATTATGAAGATTTCCAATAAGTATGCTATTTCTGAATGTTGCTATAAAAAATGTCTATAGAATCCCTGTGAAAACCTCAACAACACATCCTGGACAGAGCACAATATCTCGTCAGTGAGGAGGAGGAGGATACAGAGAGGAAGGTGCAGCAGGTGTGAGTGTCACTATGGGCAAACAGATACAATAATAATTAAGGGTGCTCCGATCGATCGGTCACCAATCGTAATCGGCCGATAATGGCTTTAACTAGTTTGATCGGTGGTTGCTAACACCGTTAATTGTCTTGAGACTCAGCCCATCAGGCAGAGAGAGACTGATCCTTTGGCGTGTGTCCTTATGCAAAGAGCGGTGCCACTCAATCAGCTGACTGCCTCTCTCTCTGTTTTCGTTATGAAACGGAGACCTTTTGCTACGTTTCCGCCTCCCATCCAGATTAAAACAATGAATTGGAAGATGTTTGGGCAAAACAGAGGACTTTATAAAACAACGACACACACTCACACACGATATATTATTTTCAAATCTCATTGAAGGCAGTTTTGACTCCTCTGCTCCTCTCTCTATTCCCTTAAGCCCACAGAACCAGCCTGAGCTTTCCAGAACAAGTTCAGAGTTTATCATCGACTCATGATGCCTGTGCTCCTTTACCTCCTAAATAGTTTTGCTACAGCCTTTTTTTGCAGTTTTTACGGTTGTTGTAAATTTATAAAGATGCTTTTCGTTTTGTTTTGTAGTTCATTCCACAGGAAAGCTATTATTTAAACTATAAGATGTTCGCAGCAGGCAAAGGCTGCTATGGTTCAAGTCTCTAAGACAGATACATTTGTTGCCCATGTTTCCTGGCAATAAAATAAACGGTTGTCATTTCATGAAACTGTATCATCTCTTATCTTTAACGCTTAATACATTGTTTTTAGGACCAATTAAATAAATATACAGTATACTGTACACAGTAGTAGGCCTTCATTTTAAACAGTTTCATCCTTCTGCCATGTGAGTCGCCGTTTCTCATTTCTCCTCTTTATGTGCGTACGCATGGTTCAGAGTTTACTTACATTCACATTTTCCCGTCAAGTTTGTTTTTTATAGATCACAACCTCTGCTTGGAAAATGGCGTACACACGTTTCCAGCCCTGTTTTGTACGTGCGTATACACACTGTTTATAAATGAGAACCCAGATCTTTTACTAGGGTCTGGTCAATAACACTAACAGGAAAACCTAACATGTTTTTGATGGTGGGGGAATTCGATGCACCCAGAGGAAACCCACAGGGAAGAAAATGCAAACTCCACACAGAAAGGCCAGGGCTACTGGGGTTTGAACCTGTGACATTCTTGCTATGAGGCCACAGTGCTATCCACTGGACCACTATGGCGCGCATGCACTGTGCACAGATTACAGTTTTCCTGGCTGATTCCAGTTGCTGATTTTTTAAAAGGTCTAACCTGCTGATTCTAATTTTATTTATTTCTAAGATCTATAACTGACAGGATACACAAACATTTTTGTAACTATTATATTTTTTTTAGGATCCCCATCAGCGCCAGTATAAATGTTAGCTATTTTCACTGTATGGTCAATTGTATGGTCATAATTAAACATTTATTACAAATGGCATTTTCACTGGAAGGAGCTGAAAATAAATTGCACACCATTTTAATTCTTCTTAATCCTCTAATTTATTTTAGTGTTTAATCACAAACCACAGTAATCTGCTCACCTTGCTTTTCCCCTCACACACAGAAGCACACACCTTCACCTGCCCTCTCTCTCTCTGTCTGCTCTGACTTTATCGGTCAGCAGTTTTATATGAAAGAACTTTCTTACTTTTCACCCGTTATTCTGTTTTCACAGCAGCAGATGAGCCGCTTGTTGTTAATTACCGATAGAGACCACCGTGGTCTGAATGACATCGTCACTGTGTCTTTACCTGCTCCCTGATTTACAAAATCCACAGCGTCTCTTTCTGTGTTTCTCTGCAGATGTAGTGAGCGTTGACTCTTCTTCACTCTTGTGAATAACTTCCACACACTTAAGACATGTTTTAGCCTGTGTGTGTGTTGCTGTGACATGAGGCTACTGTCTGTGCACACATGTGAATCACAGCGCAGCGTGTTTGTTACGTTCAATGTGATCGGCAGAAACCGCATGTCCGATAGGCACCAAACTTGGCACAGACCATCTCTGGATGAAGCTGATACAGGCTTGTGCTCCCCAGATTGATACACAAAAAACTGTTGAACTTTATAAGCTAACAAGAAAGAAACACTTCGAACACAATGTGATGTCATGTCTAAGGTTTGGAATGGCCCATCAGCACCAAACTTCTGTGGTATGCCCCCCTGACGAGCTATGCAAAATGTGGTGTCAATCGACCTCTAGTTAGGGCTATTAATTGTATATCAAATAACACTCCCATAGACGTGCATTCATTTTACATCTACGTAACTGCAAGTCCCTTTAAATTAAACTCTGCTCGTTTATTCACCGCTGGCTCTCGGAGCCGTGGCGGGGCGCTTGGGTCGAAATGCGTGGCCTTCGCGGGGCAAGGGGGGCAGCTGGCGCCAGGAGGCTTAGATCCCGCTTACAACTGCTTGCAGTTCTAGTTTCTTCTTATTTTTCTCTGCTAAAAAGTGTTTGTACAGCTTAAACTTTAAACCTTAGAAACACAAGATTTGCAGATGGGTTGAACATTTTACCCACTACTCAGGAACATATAGTGACACTCTCTGATTTCAAGGTGATGCTGAAAAAATCAAGTTTGCGTTTCTGCAATAATCTCAAAAAAGGCTCATCAGTTCACTTCAGTCCACGTTATCTGTACAGCTCGTTGTCTAAATGTATTTCACAGGCAGAGTTCCTGAGCAGCTCTCAGAGAAGACGATGAAAAATGTCCTCATGCAGGAAACCAGACCTCCCGAACTGGTCGAGACCTTGGTCATTTCTCTCCCCTAGCCAGTCTCTCTCCCCTTCCAAGGCTGGTAAGGGTTAGCTGGTAGGAAAGAACTCTGTTGGGAGAACTCTGTTGCTCAGCTGATCTAACCGGCCTGTTGGGTCGTCCTCCGGGACGACCTCCTGAACTGTTTTGTCCCCTGGCCAGCTCGGTCGGCCTCCCGAACTGTTCTGTCCTACTGCCCTGCCCTGCCTGTTTGGCCATTCCTCTGAACTCTGGCCCCCTTCTGTCTGATCCTTGGAATATTTGTTTTTTTCTGCATTTGGGTCCTCCAACTTGATCCCTCATCAACTCATAACAGTTTTTTTAAAAATGGGCCAATGACCAGCTCATAAAGCACGGACAGCGGCCCATTGGGTGATTTTTGTATACGGACACCAAATGCGCAAAAACAACCGATATGTTTGCCACCGGGGCTGTAGTAGCTTCAACATACCTGTACATCTTTAGCTGTTATTTGTATTTTACGTGTATTTATTGTTTCTAAGGGCAGCTACTACTATGCACTATGCACTTTTGAGTCCACGACAATTTCCCCTAGGGGAAAATAAAGTATATTCTATTCTATTCCAATCTATAACATCAGCTGTAGTGGCCAATGTAGAGCAGGCACAGGCATCAATAGTGTCGCCAGGTAATTTTTCTGGGGCTTTAGCCCTGACAGTTTTGACAGTAGCCCAGA